CACAAATCGCACACACGCTCACCACCACCTGCCCTCTGTGTTCTATTGTGTTTACCCCGCTCCTCTGTTGCCGCGCGTTGTTAAGCGCCTACGCAGTTTTCGGCGCGGCTCCTGCGCGGTATTTGGTGGGCGGCGCGCCCGGGGCGCCGGGGGCCCGGCTGGGGCCGCGGGGGGGCCTGTTGGCTCGTCGTAAAAGCCTGCTGACATGAGTATAGCGGAGCCGGGGGTCGTCCCGCGCTCGCTCGTCCTGACGAGTCACTCGCATCTGGCTTTTCTCCCGGGTGTTGGGCGTGTGCTCGCGCACTCTCACATCGCGTCGTGATGAGTGCGAGCGCTCGCTCCATCTCGTCTGCCTATTGCTCCGCCATGGTCATCGGCACTGTTTACGGCTGCGCGGTATCTGTGATTGCGGTGCTAAGGTCCGCGCAGAGTCCCTCCCGCTTGGCGCGGGGGGGGCGTCGGCGGTCGCCGCGACGGCGCCGGCGGGTCCGGGCTCGCGAGTGGGTCGGTCGGCGGCGCGGGTAGTCGCTCCCGGGTCTTCTGTACATCACCCACTGCTACCTCCGCCGCCCACAGTATGCGAATGCTCGTGGGCCCCGCCCCGGCCGCGGGCCCCGCCGGGCCTGGGGGGTCTTTTTTTGTTCCTGGGGGGTACGTTTCGGGGCCGCGTGGGCGCGTAGTGCTGAGGGTCGCACGCCGGGCCGCCGGGCCCCTGTGGTCGCGGGTTGGCGCCGGCTTTTGTTTGGTGTGTGTGATGGTGGTGTGTGTCTGTTGTGTGTGTGTGGGTGGCTGTTGTGTGTGTGTGTGTATGTGTGTGATGTGTGTTGTTGTGTGTGTGTGTGCTGCTGTGTGGGTGTTGTGTGTGTGTGTGTGTGTGTGTGTGTGTTCCTGTGGGGCCGCCTGTGTGTGTGTGTGTGTGTGTGTGTGTGTGTGTGCGTGTATGTGTGGCGAGTGTATGTGTCTGTGCGTCGTCTGTGCGCGCACCGGCGGGAGAGGGAGGTGGCGTGGTTGGTGGTGTACGGTGGTGGTGAGGTAGAGGCGGTGTGAGTTGAGGTAGATTTAGGATTGATAGAGTTAGGATAATCAGGTTTATTGAAGAAGTTACTGTTAACAGACGTTACAATTAAATAAATTTTGCCAGGGAAAAGCAAGATGATGATCAGGCCAGTATACAAATTGAAATCGGATTGATAGTAGTACCAATGAATAGTAGGTGTGCCCAAAATGTGTGTGGTGTGTGTGTGTTGTGTTGGGTGTGGTTGTGTGTGTGTGTGGGTGTATGTGTGTGGGGGGGTGTTTTGGTGTTGTGTGTGTTGGTGTATCATGAGCTATAATACTTCATGGTGTATCATGAGCTATAATACTTCATGGTGTATCATGAGCTAATGCTTCATGGTGTATCATGAGCTATAATACTTCATAGTGTATCATGAGCTATAATACTTCATGGTGTATCATGAGCTAATACTTCATGGTGTATCATGAGCTAATACTTCATGGTGTATCATGAGCTAATGCTTCATGGTGTATCATGAGCTATATCACATGATAGAAAACATTGATGCTGTAGTGATCGAGGTAATTATACAATCGGTGTTTCCGCGGATGTGTGAAGTACTCCACTAACGTAAGCGATGACATCGGGGAATTCCAAACGTTGCAGATAATACCGGGAAATGCCCTACCTTGCAGAATATACCGTAAAATTCGTTTGAGTAAAACATTTATAAACCCAACCGCCCCTGCCAATCTAGTTTTGTTCTTTTATATACCACTAACATCTCTAGTTAGTGCCTTATATTTAACATTAACACCCACTCACTTGTCAAAATCATCTATGACTAACGCTCTCTTTAGTTCATATTTGTTTCCTCACACTATCCATAATAGTGATAGAATTCTGACAAGAACGCCTCTTGCATGGTGACATTTGCTAACATCCGTTGGATGTCCGACACACGTTTATTGTCGTTGCTTCGATCTGACCGAGACACATCATGATAGATATAGCTTATAACATAGGAATACGTGGCTAGCTTGTGGCTACCTCGTGGCTACCTCGTGCCTATCTCGTAGCTACCTCGTTGCTAGCTCGTATCTGCCTCGTGGCTACCTCGTAGCTACCTGGTGGCTATCACGTGGCTAGCTCGTAGCTGCCTCATAGCTACCGCATGGCTAGCTCGTGGCTACCTCGTAGCTACCACATGGCTAGCTCGTGGCTACGTCGTGACTACCTCATAGCTACCTCGTAGCTAGCTCGTGGCTAGCTTGTAGCTACCTCATAGCTACCTCATGGCTACCTCGTAGCTACCTCGTGGCTTCCTCGTGGCTAGCTCGTGGACGGCTCGTGGCTATCTCGTAGCTACCTCATGGCTACCTCATAGCTGCTTCGTGGCTACCTCATAGCTACCTCGTGCCTACCTCGTGACTACCTCGTGGCTACCTCGTAGCTATCTCGTGGCTAGCTCGTGGCTAGCTCGTGGGTGGCTCGTGGCTACCTCATAGCTACCTCGTGGCTATCTCATAGCTACCTCATAGCTACCTCATAGCTGCTTCGTGGCTACCTCATAGCTACCTCATAGCTACCACGTGGCTACCTCGTGACTAGCTCGTGGCTACCTCATAGTTATCTTGTAATTGAATCGTAGCTACCTCGTGGTCACCTCATAGCCATCTTGTAATCGTAGCTACCTCGTGGTTACCTCATAGCCATCTTGTAATCGTAGCTACCTCGTTGCTACCTCATAGCTATCTTGTAGTTGTATCGTAGCTACATCGTGTCTATCTCGTGGCTACGCCGTGGATATGGTTCGCCGGCAGTCCTACCGAACACAAGGCGAGCACTTTAGGTTCGAAAACCAACGACTGTCTCTCTGTCGAAATCTTTGTGCGTGGCGACGGCCGCAGGCACACCTCTAGGATTTTCTTGGCATCGGTCCACCAGTAGATGACGTCACTTGTATCAGTGGATGACATCAACTTGTCGGCTCAATAAACTCCGCGTCTTGCGAGAACACTGAAACGAATGGAGTGTTGTGATATAGATGGCGCTATTCGAATGTAAACGTTGACATCTACGTGGATTTTAAATTAAAGCCCGAACTCTCCTCCTAACGCCTATAGCTTACAAAACAATAAAACAAGCAGCGTTCATCCGCTAAGTAACAAGTCTTGTTAAACGAAACACCTTTTGAATCAGGCTGAGCCTCGGGGACGCAAGATGTACAATAGTCTGCCAACCGTGCCGTAGAAAGAGACAGAGAGATATATATATATATATATAGAGAGAGAGAGAGAGGAGGGGAGGGGGAAGAAGAGAGAGAGAGAGAGAGAGAGAGAG